ATCATTATTTATTATTATAACCACATGGTCATACTGCATACCTATACAGCTTTGTTTATTAAGTATATTTCCTTTTCTCCATTTACTACATACCCATAGTATGTTCTTGTATGTGCTATTGCTCTCCATTCAGAAGCAATCATGGATGGGAGGGAAGTGAATAGGAACAGGTGGTGGTCCCCAGTCCCCTAACTCACCTCCTGTCCAAATTTCATTACAACTGTGATCTTCAAACTGAATAACGCTACTGTTATTGTAGAACGAATAATTAATAACATTCCATATTGCATGTGCTACAGAATTCCAGAATTGGAACACAGTGTCACCTCGTCTTTCCTTCAATCTCTCCCTGCCAGCCAGAGCACACTAATATGTGCAAACTTTTAATTCAACAGCAGTAATTATACACATAAAAATGGGATCATATACATTCCTTCATCCTTATGCAACACGGCCTGTACACAGATAGCAATACGCACACTAGAAAAAACCCTGATGTTAATAATACAATGGTAATAAGGTTTTAAACAGATCATGGTGAGCAAGATTTGCAGTTCACATAAGATGATCAGAACTGTATTGTGCAACTGTTCTCATGAAAGTGACAAATGAACAACATCCAGCTTACGTCTGAGAAGCCAAGGGAAGGGGACTCAACATGTAATTCAAAACCAAAGTACAACAAATCTTGACATACTCCACAAGTTTTATTTTCATAAATTAATAAAAGATATTAATAAATTAACATAAATACCTTAATATAATTAAGTACAGCTTTACTCCAATGTTAAAATACCTCATTTAAAAACCAATAAACCTTAGGTGCAACCTACACACATATATATACAAATTCATGTACATAATAGTAACATATATTACCACAGAGGTAAGTGCGAGAATTTGAGATCACGTTTAATTGGTGATGTGCTGTGATGTAGGCGGCATGATGCAGGTGTTGAATTTACTTCAGCAGTCAGCTCCATGACAGAAGATTTTGGTGATTTACACATCTCTTGAATAGTGCAATCATCGGCTGCAATCAAGGAAGGTTCATGTGCCAAGTCAAAGGCAGAATGGAAGGTGCCACTGCAATGCAAGAGTGCAAAAGTGCTTACCTATGGCATATTAGGAAATGAATGTAATGCAACATGGTGACATTACACAGACTAAATACAATATATGGTGAAACAGTGGTATCACTACTTCAAATCATTGTGGACTATGCTCATTGCAGTTACTAAATGCTATGTATGGCAGACAATGTTCAACTTTGTTTGGGTGCTCCTATTTATGACAGCAAAATAGTGGTAATAAAATACCTCCACATTGCTGCAAAATGTGATTTAATACTTTAAAGGAACAATGTTAATTACAAGTGTTTCAATATGAACTGCTCAGGGAACCTACAAGGGCAGCAAAGGATATTAAATCATAAAAAATTTCATGTTTCATACAGCTCATTCGGTATTACAAAAGTTAACTGAACACAGATAAAGATTACAGTCTTCTAAGCTGAGAAGCTATATAATATGGTAGGCTACTGGTGAAAATGTCCCACACTACCCAAGACATGACATTGCAGATGATGGTAGCCTTCACAGTCACTGCTGTGAGAACCTCATATTTCACATGGAGGATGATAGGTTGACTACGTAGCTCAGAGTGGAGACACATGAACTGCACATAGAATGTTACAAAAAAAAAACATATTTAGAGACAATGGCATAGGAAAGAATATAAAGTAGACTGTGAAGGTACAAACCGGATTGAACTGGCTCAGTGTATGGTCAAATGGTCAACTTTTGTGAACACAGTAAATAATTAACCTTCTCTTCCATAAAAGTAAGAATTTCTTTAACCAGAGAATAAATAGAAAGGACTTTTGAATATCACAGGCTCTCTACCTCGTGGAAATTAACCAAAGGAATATACTGACACTCTTACAATCCTAATTCACTGAACCAAAGGGTTTTCTTTAATCAGTGTCCATTAAAAAGAATATGATCTCCTGCACACCAATGTGTTTATAATGAACAGTGCAGAGATGATAAACACGTCAAGCAGACAGCAGTTGTGTACGTGCCCATGAGGAACAAGATATATGTTGTCATAAACAGATAGGATGCTACAGTCCTTAAACTGACCATGGACAGTACCTGCTTCATTCTAGACACCTGCTTGGCTTATTCTTTGACCCTGAAGATGGAGGTGATATGTTCATCAAAAATATCAATTGACTTTCAATGGACAACATGGTGTTATATCCCCGATAACAGAATAGGGTTTGATTCTCAGCAGTCATAATTTTTTCTCCTTCCTACCATATATGAACCAGTGCCACGAGATACCAAGCCTTCAGTCAGAGAGGAAATTGGGGTACTTTCCTAAAGTAGAAGCATCTGCAGCATGAAGCTGACCACTCATATCCACCTAGTACCAATGCTGAGAATCCATGAAGCTTTACTTTTATTGGGGTTACCTATACACATCAGAGTGTGGGATAGGAACAACTTAAAATTTATTATTTATATATATATATATATATNTAGTCTGTTCAAAGTCAACCGACATTCACGAGGAACACATTCTGTGTCTTGTTTGGCTTACTCTTGAACCCTGAAGATGAAGGCAATACATTCCCCTGAAAACTCAACTGACTTTCACAAGACTATGTAGTGTTATATTCTAGACAACAGAACTCTTCAAAACACCAATTATTAACAGGACAGTGTAGGGTCAGCATGTTTTTTTTTTTTTGCCAAGTTCAAGCTCTTCAAAGATTTAAGTTTTGACACCAAATTTTACAGATTCTGTATACCCAAAATACCTATACAGGGTGTATCAAAACTCAACGGCAAAACTTCAGGAAAGGATTCCTCATATAGAGAGAAGAAAAAAGTGTATGACAACATGGGTCCAGAAATGCATAATTACAGAGTTATCCAAGTGTGTAATTTACGGAGTGCACACCGACACATCCTGCTTGGTGGAATAAAAATGTGAGACTCCAGTTGTTTGTTGGAACCCTACGTTCTTCTGGGCAAGCTTAATGGACAGAACTACACAGATTTCTTGCATACTACATTGCCTGATTACTTGGAAGACATGCCACTAGCATCCTGTCGACAGCTGTACTTCATGCATGATGGTGCTGCTGCACATTTCAGTCTGTCTGCCCGCAGGTACCTTAATGCACATTATTCTGTACACAGGATAGGTAGAGGTGGACCGATTGCTTGGCCACCACGCTCTCCTGACTTAAACCCCACAGACTTTTAACTGTGGGGACACTTAAAGACTGTTGTGTATTCGACTGCTGTTGCTGATGTACCAACTCTCCATGCACGCATTGGGGCAGCCTGTCAGACAGTATACACTACACCGGGCATTTTTGATCGTGTGCAGCACTCAATGTGACGACAAGCGAAGACCTGTATTCAGGCAGGAGGTCACTTTGAACATTTCCTCTGATACGTGGCCAGAGTGTTCCAGCTGGCATTACAGACGTATTCAGTGGAACAGTGCTGGGAGTGTCGGATTGCACTAATGTTACTAAAAGTTCAGATAACTCTGTAATTATGCATTTCCGGAACCATGCTGTCATACACATTTTTTCTTCTCTCTGTATGAGGAGTCTGATCCTGAAGTTTGCCACTGAGTTTTGGTACACCTGTATAAAAGTAACTAAAATATTTTGAAATTAATGCCTTGAATCTATCATAAAGTATCTATATACAGTAGACCCTTGATTTATGGTGGTTTGATATACGCCAATTTTAATATCCATAAGCTTGAAAATTTTCTAGTGGTTTTCTCCAAAAATTCTGGAAAATTCCATACTGAATTCCTGCTACCAAGAATGGTGCCTGCCCTGTGCAACGCTACTGGGCATGTATTCAAGGCAACACCACATTTGGGTATACATTGTGTATGCTCATTCTCTGTACAGTACATTGTGTGTAGTAGTGGCTCTTCATTTAATGGTAAATTTATTTAAAATGTCAGTTTATGAAGTTAAATACTGGAAGATTTTACAGTTATCTGCATTACATTATAGCGGACTATTGTGTACCTCAATACTGTGCCTCAAAATTTTTTATATATTCATGCTTTACAAAAAAAAGTGAAACTATGCCTAGTCATAAAGAGTAGAAGTGGAACTGTGGGTCAAAATATAGCTGATAGATCATGCAAATCTATAACATCAGAAGAAAAGATGTATGTTATTAGAAGATTGGGGGGTGGGAAATGATGTCAGTAGAGATTTGAATGTCCAGTAGACCCTGAAGATCCACAGTCAGGATATTCCTCTCATCAGTAACGCCTACATATTTACATTTTATTACAGAATAAAAGTGATATAAATCCATGTATATAATGCCTGTGTTTAAAATATATAGTTTGTTGTATTATTTTATGAAAGAGCCTAAATTTTTGTATACCTGCAACACACCTCACTGATATATATTACAATACATCTTTCTTCTATACTGCTTTGATATACAGCAGCATCTCCAGGAAACCTACATTGGCATAAAACAAGAGTCTACTGCACTTACATTTCATTCACTGTCCCACATGTAAGCTATATATCTTTCATCTAATTTCTCAGTCATAAAGCAGCTAACACCAACCAGTGTACATCCTGCAGGTGATTGTCATTTCTGCATTTTAACCATGCCTCATGCTATTCATTACACGTTTTCTCATGGCATGCCACTGCTACTGATAATCATGTTTTTTTCCCATGTAATACACCTGTTTGCTCCCCCTCCACCACAAAAGAGAAAAAAAAGAGAGAACTGATTTTACAGAGCTGCTTGTATGTGAGAGACCCATAATACTTGTTGTGTACACTATTTTGTTCGATAACAATATTCTACCATTATTTTAACTGTCATAAAATTCTATAATACTGAGATCAGATTTGTGATAAGAAGTAAACTATTGGGCCTTCCGATTGTTGTCTTTGGTAGTTATCATGTCAGGCTGACACTAACCTTCCCTATTGTGGAAGGTGGTCTGTGGGCTGCGTAGCGCCCATACAACTGCTGCAAGCCATTATACCGCTCTTCAGTCTTGCCAGTTCTGTGAAAAACACAATGAAGGGATAGATTCAATACCAATAGCAGAAAACCCTGTTTAAATTCAACAGCGAATCATTTCTTTCACACCTTCATCCTTCACCCTTTTTCTTCCTTTCCTTTACTCTTTCATACCACTTTCTAATTCCTCTCTTTAAAACAATCAGTTACTTAGACCTTTATCCTTCAGATGGCAGTTTTCAATACAGAGCTGCCACTTCTACAAAAACAAAACAAACTCCATGGCTTTAGTCTGCAAGCGAACTATGCCGACTGAACAACTTCCATTTGTCAGCGAAGTTGGTGGCAACTTTAGCACACAGAGGGTGTTGCGTGGTCAGTACAACAAATCCCCACGGCTGTTAATTTCGGTCTTCTAGAACGGGCCACTTCTATAACTACGTGAAAATTACTAAGGCATAAGAATGACATGGCATACACATAGTCAGATAACAGACATGTATATTCATAAATAATATACAGTGCGTACAATCAAGTGCGCGCCGCGGCTGCAATTTGCCGTGAGTCATACCACCGCAGAACGGATGCAGTCGCGGGGAGGAGTTGCAACACTGTATAAGTATATACAGATTTAAACTTTGATGTCGACAGTGTTGATGAACAGCAGTTTCTTTCTTGGTTTATTTCACAGATCTTTTAAGCTATTCGCATCATGAAACATTTTCACAGATAACGCCTTTATCACCAGCAGATATTTCACAAAAATGAAGCAAAATTCTAACTACTGTATTTACTGATAGCTTTTATAAATATCAGTATACTATGCATGTCATAGACGACCATGGTAGAACAAAGACAACACCTATAACTTACTGAAACAATAAAGGTGAACAAAACCTCTTGGTGGAAGAGGCCAATTTCATGATCTTACTTGTATGTACTTTGGGATATGCTTGACCTGTCATTTACATACTGCTATATACTATGAGTAGTATGCAGAACAGGTAACAATGATAGCATATTTTGGAGTGGAGGAAGCAGCAGTGGCAGTCAGAATAGCCCCTCTCCAGGCTGAAATTTGAACCCAGGAAATCCAGAATGAAGGGAGTGGTATAACAATTATGCCATAACAGTAGACATGTGCCATGAACAAATACTCACTCTGTTAAATAAACTAAGAAACAAACATACTGGAAAAGTAGTTTGCTGTATCTGTGATCCTTGCACTAGGCAGTAAGAGCACAGTACTGTCCCAACTATATAAGTAGTGCCATCATGCACGTGTGATCAATGGAGACATGACTTTGTCTAAAGCAATGCCAAAATTACTTAATATAAAAAATAACTTACATCACTTCAGTTCTGTTCTTGAAGTACCTACAATTGAAAATATATCAATAATTCACTGTGACATGATGACTGAAAGGCGGAATAGCAGAGCCAAAAGAGGTGGCCACTGCTAGGCAACAGTTCAATGCTTCTACAGCAAGGGATACATAGGCAACAATAGAAGAACCAGGTGAAGTTGTGTTTTCGTTGTGAGAGATGCTGAGGCTATACAATGAGGACCATGGGGACAAGTTACTTAGTTGCGAGTCAGCAGTCACAGTTGTTTGCCATGAGTATGGAAGCAAAGGAACCCCCCATTGTTAGCAGCCACTACCAAGCAATGACCAGTGAAGCCAGAACAAACTGAGATAACTTAGTGTGTGTTATGGTGATTTGTAAAATGTGTAGCTCAGTGACAGCCTTATAGTTATTTGTAGCTGCAAGGCAAAAGCATTCAGTAAATTCAATAATCAATCCAGACTCCATGTCTAGTTACTAATATGTTGATATATTTTCTCATATGTGTAAGTGGATCCTCAGAAAGATGAAAAATTGTGTATCCAATTAACACCATGATAGAGGGTCTTTCTGGAGCACTTTATATGCATTCAACTTAAATATAATTCCCTGTAATGAATTTTGCAGATTAAAACCACAGATATCCTGAACACACAGCACGAGTGCTATCCACTACATCTTGATGTCTGAAAACTACTAGAGAAGATGCATGTGTGACATTCTCTTACCTTACTGCAGAAGATTTACTCTGAGATCCTTCATTCAAGGTGTTCAACAATCTCGAATTGAGGAAGGGATGGCTATTATTCACCTCATCTGGTAACACATCATTAAATAATGTATTAAAAGTGTCTGTTACATTAGTGGGAACAAGACAGGAAAAGTGAACTTTGTACCAGATGGCAGTTTCCATATGCATTCTATCTTAGTTCTGAATAGATTGTTTCAATAACCCTCCATTCACTTTGCATATATTCTTTCCATGACATAATCCAGCTAACCTGATACAAGCAATATACACAATAATATGTTCTTCCCACAAAAAGCTCTGCAATGGAGTTATGCACACATAAAAGGCTAAAGCCGTCCCTGTGCTTAATTAATTAAGCACCATGACATGCAATTGCAATGTTCTTCTTTACAGTAATACCTATCTGAAATGGGGGATGTCATAAAGATGTATGGGGGTATGAAAGTATAGCTTCATGCATTCTTAGCAATGGCACCAGGTGGAGGTTAGTGGTCAGTTTCATGGCCCTGTCACTTTACTCCCAGTGAAATAACCCCTGGTACCCATCCCACAGGAGGTTGGGTGGGCCACAGAGCCAGTCTGAACATTTTGGAGCAGAGAAAATTCTCTTGCTCCTCCAATTGCTTGACTGTCCAAACTGTAACCTGTCACAATACCAACTTACCTATCCTAACTAGGTTTTTTATACACAGGGAGACTTTAAGTACTGAAAGTTCTTGGTTTGTTTCCTCTTACATACACTGTGTGTGTGGCTGTAGTAACAGAAATTGCCTGTAAATTTGGGAGCACTGGAGTTATGCACAACACTCAAACTTCTAGAATTGTTTACGATGGTTACTATCCCCACTAAATAGAGCTGGGACAGTTCAATCAGTATGAGTATAAGGACCAGGCTATGGGCTGGATGACCCGGGTTCAATTTCCAGTAGAGGCTGAGATTCTTCTCTTTGCACCTGCAAACCAGCAACAGAGTACACATTGGAGGCTCTTTACCTAGGGGCAAAGCAAGACAGGGCAAGAAGATTTCCACTCATATCTACCTGCTGCCATGGCTGTGAATACAGAGCTATACTTCTACTTCCCCATACATGTTCACAGCATGTACTAAATTAAGCATTAGGATGATTTTACCTTTACTATCCTCACTGTTGCCTACTACTATTAGTATGGTTACCTTATTTCAAAAGTGACACTAGTGTCATTCACACCTCACAAATCTGTGCATCTGCCATGGGAATTTAAAGGTGTGAGTTAAACGCAGCCACCAAAGGTATAATATTACTAACAAATTTCATCAAAATCCATTCAGCGATTATCAACAGAAAGAGACAGACAGGCCTTCCCTTGTATGTTGTTTATGCACACTGTGCAAATAACACATAATTAACACTCTCTAATACAGTGGTTAGCAACCAGCATTGCATAGAACAAGCCAATTTAGAAGACTCAAAAGCCAGTGGTAATACAATATGTTTTTATGTTTTCAATTAACAAGAATAATTATTAATTATATAAAATATGATGATGCATACTTATGATCTAAATTATCATCTTCAAAGACAGAAGTATGACAATGAGCTGATTCACAAAGCTTCTTAACTGTTCAGTATCTTAATATTTTTAATTTTTCAATCATGCAATTAGCAGGCAGCAGGCCACTCTGAGAAACCTAGTTGACCACATGTAGCTAATGGGTTTCTCCCCACCAAAACCACAGCAACTCAGAATGAATCAAAGGAGTCAAAGAGGCAAAAGAATAAAATTACATCTGGATAATATCAAGAGAGAGGCAGGGTTTAAACTTAGCAAAGCATGGATTCCCAGCACCAGATTATGAGGGCACCTCAATTCACACAGATCAGGAAAACCCCAAGAATATGAACACAGGGAACAACATGCTACAAATAAGAGAAAATAAAGGACAACAGGGATGCCAGAAAACATGGTGACAGGTAAAGTTAGATGGATGACTGTATAATTTCATTTCGCCTTGCTGCTGCACAGTATGCCAACAAGATTTGACAGATTGGTATACACATCAAAGACAAATGGTCATTTACCAAATTGACCCTCACGATGGAGATGGAGATCTCAAAAACGTTGTTTCTTAACACAATAGCAATATGGCTGATCACCAAAGAACATTTCAGCACATTTATTCAACCTGAAAGCTTCAAGTCTTATACAATAAAAGATAAACTGTTCAAATCAGATGCTGATGTTTGCCATAGAAGAACCTTGACTTTGAAAAATGTGATTCTTTTGTGACACAGTAACATCTCAGAAAAAATACTTCAATTTTAAGGTTCTAGAACTGACAATTACCTGCATTTTTTTTTTAATTCGCTTAGTGGGGGATGGAGTCCAACTGGGTCCACTTGGCACGGCGGCCACTGATTGGCCTATTATAGCCTGCCCCGGGCGATTATGATGATGGAGAAGTTGGTAAAATGAAGATTGGCAAGGGAAACCGAAGTACGCGGAGAAAACCAGCCCCAGCACCACTCTGTCACCACAAATCCCACTTGACCAGACCCACAATCGAACCCGGGCCTCCGCAGTGGGAAGCCAGACACTAACTGCTTGAGCTATGGTGCGGCCAACCATTACCTTACTCTTATTATTGGCGAGATAATGCAGTTTCCCTAGGATACCATATATACTGAACCAGAAAGGAGTTCAGTTGAAGCCAGAAGATATTAATTATTGGAGATGTTTGCAACTGACCAGAGGAATTTGGAAGCAAAATAAATGGTTATGGAAAAAACCAGGAAATAAAACAGAACACTGTGCAAGCAGCTTATCTCATGTGTTGTAATATTCTAACGAATTTCAATGAAAAAATCTCCAATTTAAAGTTCATTGTAAATTTTATTACACAGGCAATCCAAAATAAGATGTGGTGGTGATATGAACATATAAAAAGAATGCAAGAATATGATAAAGGTAAATAAGGTAAAACTATCCTTGTAAATGATCATGAAGGCCCATAGGATTGCGAGACGTTAAGGCTCCCACATTTTCTCTAGACAATCGGCTCATAGATGGCGGTAAAGTGGTCAGCCTTATGCGCCGACTGAACAGCTGAAATTATTAATCCACTCTGAACCAAAAGAAGAACGTGAAATAGGGTGCTGAAGACATAGTGGTTACATGTTGTGTAAAGCTCAACAGTTATGGGAGTACAGAAACAGGATATCTATTAAAACATGAAGAGCTGAAGAATACAAATTTGTATTCAGTATACAGTTGCCTTAAGTGTGCCTACAGAGTCCATTAATGTGAAAAACTACATGCTGGTGTATCACATAATAATGTTCTTAATATTCATTTTACCAGTAATCAACTGATGCTGGTCATGTGCAACAGCATTAGAAGACTTACACCAACCTGGGTTTTCAATGAAGAATCCTTCAAAAACAACAAAATTGTTTGCCTGTGGTAATATATTTTCTAGCCCATAATGTTTGTACAGAAAACCAAGAAACTTTTCTGATGGTCGATCAATGGCCAAGTACTGGGGTGATGTTTTTTCTTCCTGCAAAGAAATTCATATACTTCTGTTTACATACTACAAGGAAGTTTCAGTCAATACACAACCCTGATGTACTATATTCTTCAGCACATGTCACTGCATGCATCTGTCCTTCCTGCTGTATATTCACTGAATCATACAAACAACAATATGCTAAGAATAAAACTGATTTCCTCTGGCAACTGCATGTCTTGTATCACTCATTCCTCTGACAATTATACTGCAAATATTACCTGTGGCACATAATCAGAACAGCTAGATATGACCTGTAAGCTCATCATTTAACTCTAACCAAATATGTTACAAGGTACATTAATGTGGACACAATTCTGAAGATGACATCAAAAAATTTACATAATTTTAAGAGAGGCATACTTGGAATATCTAAAGAAACTATGAAACAGGATCTTAAGTACAATTTTTTAAAAACTATGATGTGAACCTGTTCCATCTACCTCTCATTTCACAATCCACTTTCTTAAGAACCTCCTAATATTTTAGTACCATATCTTCCCATGTCTCCCTAGAAATTTGCAAATAAAATTCTGTATACATGTGTCATCTCACTTACCTGAGAATCTCCACCCTAGACACTCTTCTTCCATTCAATAACCTAACAATACAAGTTGAGCAATGGAAGTCAGAGTTTTCCTTGATATAAGAAAAAATACATAAAAATATCCAGACTTGTACAAATAACAAACAGGTAAACAAAACCAAAACAGCAGCTTTCCTTAACAGCCAACAGTTCACCAATTCTGCAGCTACTCAAGAATTTCCCAGCATTTTATGGAACCCAAAGGTTCATTAGCATGTTCACAAGAGCCTTCCACTGATCCCTATCCTGAGCCAGATCAATCCAATCCATCCCATCCTACCTCTCTAGGATCCATTTTAATATTGTCCACCCACCTACGTCTTGGTCTTCCCAGTGGTCTCTTTCCTTCTGGCTTCCCCACCAATATCTTACATGCATTCCTTGTCTCCCCCCTTCATGCTACATAACCTGCCCACCTCATTTTCCTTGAGATAAATGTAAGACACTTAAAATGTCTTTTTGGTTCTTGTTTCATTTAATGATGTGTCATGGGCAAAGTTATATGGCATCAAATGAGAAATAGTGTGGCTATGAATTCAGGCTCTCACAGCAGTGGTTTTGGAGAAACATATCGCTTCTATCTTCAGAGGCAAAGAATAAGCCTAGCATGAAACCAGCACAAAAGCAGGTGGCAAGCAGAGCTCTGCTTGCTAACAGTTTGTTTCTTGCTAGGCTTATTCTTTGTCCCTGAAGATGGAGATGATATGTTCCTCCAAAACGTTGGTTGACTTTCAATGAACTACATGGCATTAGATCTTCAGTTGTGACTCATTTTAAGAACTTCCATCTAAGCAATTCATCTCTTTAAGATTTTATCTGCGTGACTCATGAATACAAAGCAGGAGTACTAACCACTACACTGTGATGTTCAGGCAATCATTTCACATTCCATCACTAAAAGTTATTAACTTATTCACATCCATAAGCATACCTATATGCTGTCATCATAAGGCCATGATTCCTATAAGCATCACTAAACACACAAAACTAAGGACTGCCTGAAGTGGTCTGCTCTCATCTGTGGGTTATATTATGAAAATACAGCATGTACCAAAATGATGGGAGCAGTTTCAAGCAGCCATAACAGCTCTGGAATTGCACAAAGAAGTATGTTTCTCACATGGAACAAGGCAGCAGGTATTCGAGTTTTCATTGTATGTGCAGTCCCACTCTCTCAGTTCATGAGGTTACAAAGAGGAAATGGCAACTCCTAAGCAGAAAGCATTTTGGATCCTGCAGTTTGCAAAGCATGAATCAGTTGTTTCTGTTCAGTGGGCCTTCTGGTGACAATTTCAGAATGATCCTCCATCTGCCAACAGCATCAGGTGTTGGTATCAGCAGTTTCAGACAACAGGGTGCCTTTGTAAAGGGAAAAGTGCAGGATATCCGCAATGTGTCAGAAGAAAGTGTGGAATGAGTGAGACAGTGTTTCTTTTGCAGTCCGAAGAAATCTGTGCGCCATGGGAGTCGTGATTTGGAGATGTTGACTATGACTGTGTGGAGGGTGTTGTGGAAGAGACTGGAAATGAAGCCCTATTGTCTTCACTCAGTGCAGTTTCTTCAAACATTTTTCTCCATGGTGTATATGTTTAGTAAATTGCAGAAACTGCAACTGACACCCTGAGATGAAAGAAAGTATTTCTTAATAGTCACAAAAACAAAAAATATTTGTAGCAATTACGGTCACTCTTCCCATGGCAGGGTATCTTAAATGAAGAGGATATGAATGGGTTAACAATAGACATGGAACTATGTGCAGAGACACTTACCCTCAGCATGTGCTCATATAAAGCTTTTCCACAACCCATTCTCTGCTTAGACTCATGAACATAGAAGTCCAAAACACAAAGTGGCTGCATCTCATGGTGTGCACCAGATGCATCAAATACATATAATTTCTTCCTCCCTACTTTTAGGAGGCCCACTACACTACCTTGGCCACTGAAACGGGGAAACATTTTCAATTACAGGATCAATAATGAAGCATATATCTGAAGATGAATAAAAACATGTACTCCAGTAACAAAATGTGGATCACAACAAATTACACTAGTCAGTCATCAAATAAGAACATCTCCTGTACAACTAAGAACAAGATTTCAAGCTCAAGTGCATACATGTGTTTCAGTGCAGGTTTTCTAATCATAAATTTCACATACGACAAATTAACATATTACCTTTTGCCCTCAGGATCAATAAGCAGATAAACAGTGTGTTCTGAGTTTCTCAAACGTTCACCACTTGTGATCGCATTTTTTAGCCCCTGAGCTACTGCAGAGGATTTTCCCATTGCATCCAAAATATCAGATATCTTTGAGGCATAATCCCTGGAAATAAAAATATTGGCTAGTAATGTTAAACACACACACTTGTACAAACAGGCGCATTAAACCTGACAGCTCACAGACTGTGTGACAGATGGAGACAGTTCCAGTCCTGATTGTAGTTGTGTGAAAATATTGCTACCATGTCCAAAACAATCTCTTATCTGAACAGATTTAGGGCATATTTCCCCACAGAAGAGGTTGACCACTCACTCATATCTAGTGTTAAAGGCTGGAAAGCAAGAAACTTTATCTATGCCTTCCTGCTTTGGGAAATGAATAACTTTATGGCATATTTTTATAATACATGACATGGTACATTGACTCATTCCCTCACTCTATGATTTGACATAGTTATGTTGTACAGTGACAGACATTTATTGTTGTAATAACAACTTAAAAAAAAAAAGTAAAGCTGTCCCTGTGCTTAACCAACTAAGCACTATGCCATGATGGTGTATGGAGGAGTGGATGTATAGATTCAAATTTTCTTGACCTCAGGATTAGCTGGAGGTGAGTGGTCAGCTTCACGCCCAGGCCGCTTTATGCCCAAGGAAAGAGCCCCCGGTATCCATTGGATAGGAGGCTGGGTGAGCCCCAGAATTGGTCTGGACAACATGGAAAAGTGAAAATTGCTGACCCCACCGGGACTCGAACTCCGACTCCTCTGTCATCCAGCCGGTAGCCAGTCACTATATGGACTGCACTATCCCGGCTCACACTAACAGTGTTAAACCTATATTTTCTCTTAAATTTGCACATACGTATTGTTATAATAAATCCAACTTTGGTGACAAGGTTCAGTTATTTTACTTCATGTTATATTTGTTTGGTCTACTAAATATTTTGTGAGAAACTTGATGGTGGATGACTTGTGGCTCAAGAACTATCCCTCCAATGAAGAGAACACATGATAAGTGGTAGGTAGAACTGATTCATACTGATCATTCTATTGATAATTTTGGGACACAGAACATCAGTATACTGACAGCAACTATAATGGAATTTCACTGACAAGAAAATGAAAAGTAATTCACAATGAGGAACTTCATTAATTTATCCAGTATTTGGGTGGGAGGGGGGGGGGGTTATGCGCTTAACTGAAAATATGCACAGAATTTTATCAGAGAAACCTTTTTGAAGTGACCACTATTAACAAAGAAGATACAGGTATGTAAAACAAGCTATATGTGTAATGGACAGAAACGATTTCAGACTCACACTGCAATAATGTTATCTACATAATTAATTCAAATGGTACATTACAGCTGTGTTCAAGTTTATACCCCACCACTGGACAAAAGTCTATTAAAGCCACATTCTTCACAACCAGAAACAAAGTTTTTGTGAATGAGGTAATTATGAAAGTAACACATATATATAATTACCATATTTTCTGAAAACTTTATTTCTGGTTTTACTGTTTGTTTCATGGCTGAGAAGAATGTGGTTTTAATAGACTGTTTTGGCCAGTGGTGGGGTACAAACTTTATCTTTTAACACAGCTGTAATTTACCATTCAAATTATTTCTGTAGATAACTTTATAGCAGTATGAATCCAAGAAAGTAACACACGTGTATATGTGTATATATTTATATAGATATATACTCTTCTTCACGTAGTCCAGACTGGTCCTGGGGCCCACCCAGCCTCCTATCCAATCGGTACCAGGGGCTCTTTCCGCGGGGTAAAGCAGCAGGGGCATGAAGCTGACCACTCAACTCCAACCAGTGCCGAGGTCAAGCAAATACAGACCTACACATCCATTCCCCCATACACCTTCATGGCGTAGTGCTTAATTAGCTAAGCAAAGGGACAACTTTGACACATACATATTTAAAAAAGACTTACACCAGTTCCATGTTGTTTTCCTCCAAGTATTTTAAAGAAATAAATGCCTGATATAATAATAACGTTCAAATTAATAACTCTTTTCCAATACATTACATGGCGTTTTGGATCAGATTTCGAACCCCCTCAGCCCAATTGGTAAGAAAGTAGTAAGACAGATCATTCCGAGAACATTCTGACAACATTCTGATATTCGGTTTAGTGTATGATACGGAGGAACCAAATGAATCAGCATGACGATTCATGGGGCTATTGAAGTTCTGTTACACATAAGGTCACAGAATGGTACGGGAAAAGTGATTAGTAATTATCAGAGCAGCAATTAAAACGCTACTTTCATGTTCACAGGTTGCCTTATTACAAACACTTCTTGGTTTCATCATCCGCAATTACAGTGCCAGAATACTGTAACTCAAACCTACCACGCACTACGGCGATCACCATAATATCCTTCTGGTATAAGACTGTTTCCGACTTTGGATATTTTCTGTGATAGAATATTATTTACATTGAAAGGAAATTCCATTTTGCACTCTGATGCACAACACTACAAGTTTTATATGACAACTGCACACAAAAACGAAAGAAATGTGTACGTCATATATATCCACAAGCGCGAACAACAGTTCCTATGGCAATTGTAAACAAGAACACTCGAGCCACTGTAAGAAGGTCTAAGCCTGATTCGTTACCACCTTTCCTTTCAATGACAACTGCACACATTATCCACTTGAACATCTACGTCATACGTTCACGGTATCCATAGCGATCCATTGATATTGATCCGTGCGTGGCCTATCACCCACGGATCAAATAGTATCTACAGTTCATACTGATATGAGACTCAAGGACCACGGTTAGGAAAGAAGTTGATTCTTAAACCCACATAGATATACCGGTAATTGGAATCTAAGTTTCATTAACCAGATTACATTTGCAATTTCAATTGCCATGAAAACAAGTGATAATTACATTTGGGAACAGAATGATGAACACGGACGACGAAGTTGTCATTCATGACGTCCATGACTTTCATGACCGTTCATGACGACGGTCAAATTTTCGAATCGACTACAAATTTGGCAGTATTGTTCGCATTATAAGGCAATGTCTTGTATGTTTTAACGCTGAATCTCATAAATTCATAAAACACACAGAAAGGGGACTTCAAATTGCTCTTTTTATCAAGAGTTTAATAAATAAAGTATTCTGACATGATGACTAGAAGCCGGAATTCTTCAGTGAGAAGAAACATCCATTGCTACGTTAAGGCAATAACACATGGCGGTGTCACTAGGCGAGCGTTCGTTGCAGAATGACCGGTAACCACCTTTTGATTGATGCAACAAAAAGAGTTGTTGGAACAGGTGTGTGTTTTGTGCGGTATGCACCAATGTTATAAAAAGAGCCAATTCCGCCCCGTGTGGGAGCGAAGTCGAATACCTCTATTGTGACCCTGCGAGTCGTAGGAGGGTACGAAAAGGGAAGTCTCAAATCAGAAAGTAAAATACGGTCGCTAACGTCGCGAATCCCAAGGGACTCGGACCCGAGAAAGACAGCGCTAGCGAGGGCCACCAGCATATACAAAAGACAGACCCACCCTACCATCAGAGAGGGTGCCCTACAAAAATAAGACTAACTGTCAAAGAGCAATAAATATCTGGTCATGATGTCATGATTCTCGAAGTGGGCTAGACACGAAGACCTCAGTTGCAATGTGATTTTGAGCTGGTGTCAGTGGTCAGGAGCATCTGAGTTCGTAAGGATGGGGGTGATTGCAGCATGCACAGATTAAACACTTTCCTAGACTTTAAATATGGGTTAGCATCACTGCTAACCTTTAAGGAAATTATAAATTCTTGCTGTTTGATGACTATGAGTGATTTTCTTGTGGGGAGTTTGGTTACCAGATTCCAAGTCACTTCATGCCCTGGTTATTCCTTTGTTCATCAATTTGAAGTTACAGAATGCGTATGTACTGTCTGGTTGGTTGGTGTCTGAAGGGTCTTGGTCTGGTTCAGACTCCCATTACTTTGATTTTTAGGTGTAGTATTTCTACTAACTTTAGGGAATGTGACAACATTTCTGTGTTGCCTGGTAATTTAATTTATGTGGTTCATTCTAAATTCATTCAGTGATCTATCTTGAATTTATTAGCTCTCCTTAGTGAGTTGTGAGACGGTTGTCAGCAGTAAGGACATGAACATGGAAGCTGAGGAAGGTATGGTGTTAAAGCCGTTACCAGGCGACAACCAGTGAAGCTACAGCAGAATGAGAAGACTTTGTGCATGCTGTAGTGAATTGTGTGTGAATTAGTGACAGCGCTACAGGTACTGTAAGTAATCTGTAATCTGTAAATTAGTACCTCCAACGATGAGCTTCTGGCAGTTGTCCAGCAGTGGCGCCGGGATACCCCCAAAGAATGGTTTGCTGTGCAAATACTGAAACTGCTAGAATGATGGCAGAGGTGCATAGACATTGGTGGGGAATACCTCTAATATAATCTGTATGTACTTTGTTCCAGTAAATGGTTACTGCGAAGAAAAAACATTTAGTGTCAATCATTTTTGAACACCCCTAGTAATACATATAAAATGATCAATGAAGGAAATAATAAGGTGGCAATAATTACATGAGGAGCTTTGCAGTTTGTATTCTTCGCTTTGTGGATAAAGGTTATAAAATTGAGGATGAGATGGATAGGATATGAGGAATTAAAGCTGCATATAAAATTAATCTTGAAAGTGACAGCATATGAGTATGTAGCATGGTGAATCTCTTACTGATTATCTGTTAAAGGCTCAAGAAGACTACACTGTGTAGTTTAGTTATTCATTTATTGTTATATATGCATAATTGAAGGTTACAATGGCCCTAATACAAATTGCATCTTCGGTGACTCAACAACTGCTGGTCTCTCTGTCACACGCAGTGAGTTGAGAAATATTACTTGAACCACTATAATGATAATTCAGGTTTCTTCAAGTAGCTCCTGTGACTGATGAATTCATTGCTCACAATGTCATTTGGATGTTTTATAGCAAAATTAAAAATAAGCTTATGTACTACAATATATCCAAATGCCTGTGTAATTTGATATGGAACACAAAGTTTTAGATCCTTAATAATTTCTATATATACAGGGATCCATCTGCTGGGCCTAGATAATGAAGTGATATTAAAATAACATCAATTAGGGTCCAGACACCAAGTCCACCAAAACTGAAGAGCTTCCCAATTCCTTCTTGCCAATGACCAAGGTAGAACCTGGGGGGAGGAAAGAAATGATGCAGAAACAAGATAGCAATCAGTATATAAACCAATACAACTTGTTTAGTGTGGCAAAGAGGCAAAGGTCTGATAATGATATGCACATTGGGAACATTTTCTTTTATCAGTGAATGCAGAATAGATTCTAAGCCAAGATGTACTGAGAGTTATTTATAATTTTTGTAACCTGAAGTTTCTGCATGTATGAATTCAGTATCTGTTTGACTAAAATAGAGAAAGGCAGAAAGGAAAAGCTGTATAAAACTTTACAGCTAGAATCTAAACTCTTTGTGTCAACATAAAGGAAAGTAAACAAGGAAAACAGGAACAACAATACATAACACAAATTTCAACATGGAAGAAGAAACTGTGGACACAGATAATCATCATTCATGCAGTATTACAAGCTACAGTTAAAAAAAAAGACAGAATGGAAACACTGAGAAACACCCACACTTGACTCTTTAATCCACAGCAATAAGCAGAACTCAACAAATATTCACTAAATTCATCAGGCAAATACAGTGACTATTCAGTTCTCATGTCCTTTTATGTCTTTCCAGAATAACATACAGTGGAACCTCGCTTGATTAGCATAATTCGTTCCAGAATCTTACTCATAATGCGAAACACTCGTTAAGCGGAACAATTTTTCCCATATAAATTAATGTAAAATACGACAATGCGTTTCAAGCCGAAAAAATACTCAACAAATTTTATGTATAACATTTATTCAAAGAAAATTATATATACATTGTTAAGGAGCATGAATCAACTTCATCTTTTCTTCTATGCGGAATGAACCAACCTGGAATGTGAATTTGATTTGCAGAAAAAAAAAAATCGAAATAATGAGCTTATTTATGATACATATCTAATTCTTTTTACTAGAAAGCTGTCTAGAGACATTTGTTTTTGCCTACACTTCAAAATTTGGTGAAAATGCGACACAGCATTATCATTAAATAAATATGTAGCACTCAAGAAAATGCTTAATACTAAACCAGAAGGAAATAGGAGAGTGGGAAGACCAAGGTTAAGATGGGAAGAATGTGTGTGGCAGGACATTAGAAGTTTGGGTGTAAAGAACTGGAGGAATGTAGCATCGAATAGAGAAGAATGGCGAGCAATCCTGAGGAAGGCCAGGGCTCACAAAGGGCTGTCATGCCAGTGATGATGATGATGATGATGATGAAATATGTAGCGCGCATAGCCACTGCCTTATTAGGGCGATGCTTCTCAATGTACGATGCAACAGTTTCCCATGCTTTCAGCATTTCTCTTATTGCGCCAGAAGATTGTTACTTTGCTGTTACCTCCTCCTCCTCTGACAAAATCTCCTCCACAACTTCTTGCTGGGAAACACAATGCAACTCCAAATCGTGCAAATCGTTGATGTAGACCGATTGTATGTGCATGCTAGATCAGCCATGCTCACACCTCGTTCTCGCTTTTAACTCACAGATGTTTATTATGAGCATATTTGTTACACCCTGCCAAACATAATTCTTTACAGCTGAGCAACACAAAAATAAATGTAAAAGTAGGAATGAAAAATGCCAATGAAAAGAATGAAGGCATCAAAATACAATGTATGTATGTATGTAAGGAGTGGGCCACAAAAACTGACCCCTGCACTGCGACCTTCAGTAATCTATTGTGCTTCCCCTTGGAGACTCCCACGCTTTCTCTTGACAGTCGGCTCACAGGTGGTGGTGAGGTCAGCCTTACATGCTGGCCATCCTTTACCCCCAAGAATATTCCTGGTACTCATTTCTGTTAGAGGCTGAGTCGACCCCAGGGCCATAGTGCGGCTGGAAGGATTAGGTCAATTGAAAAAAAATCCAATTACCTCATCGGGTCTTGAACCCATGACCTTCCGGCTTGTAGCACAGTGCCCCTTACCACTAGAGTAATCAAATTCATTCTAAATAAGACATTATTCTCACCTTATCAATGAATTCCTTCACTTTGACAGACTTGCACACAATATATGAAGGGCGCTCCATATATAATGTCTCCTATTTTTTTGTGTTGATCTGTAACGTCTGAGCTGGATGTTGGTGGTGTTGTAGTAAAAGTTGAACCTTCCCACCAATGTACTGTTAGTTTGGTTGTTGTGTGACAGATAGCAACAGCAGAGCATTCTACCAAAATGGCGTCTGACATAGAAGTGCGTACAGAACAGAGATGTGTTACTGAATTTCTCACTGCCGAACAAATTGCACCCATTGATATCCACTGACACTGGCTAAAGGTGTACGGAGACAATACAGTGGATGTCAGCACAGCGTGGCAGTGGGTAGTGCGTTTCAACAGTGGCGAAAGAGAAGTGCATGACAAACCACACCCTGGGCATCCCTGCTCAGCTGCCACTCCTCACAATGAACAGCGCCTCGATCACCTCATCCATACAGATCAGCAGATAACGACCAGGGAACTGTGTGTATGGCTTAGTTAGTTAGTTATTAGAGAGGGTGGGTTTCCCCATGCACTTAGACCTGTAGTGGTCCATTGTGCTTCCCTCTATGATTTCTACCAGCCTCTATATCCTACCGGTATTGGTGCTTACCATCAGTCCCACCCAGCCAGCGAGACCGGCTCTACTGGCTGAGAAGTATCTATAATGCTTCCCCCATCTACTGGAGGTATTAGTGACTGCTGTTGGGTGGCAAATGTCCACAATTTTGGCTCAGGTGTGCATGGCTTAATATCAGCTATAATGCATTGGAAACGATGTTGGGGAAGCTGGATTATCGCAAAGTCTGTTCCAGGTGGGTCCCGCAGATGCTTACATAGGACCACAAAACGCATCGAATGGAAGTCTGTCAGGACCTGTTGTGCCAGTTTGAGGCTGAAGGTGACAAATTTCTGGACAGCATCGTAACCGGAGATGAGACATGGTGTCACTACTACGAGCTGGAATCCAAAAGACAGTCCATGGAGTGGCAACATCCGGATTCCCTAAGAAAAAAGAAGTTCAAGACAGCCATTGGCAGGGAAACTGATGTGCATGGTCTTTTGGGATAGGCGGGGTGTGATTTTGTTAGATTTCCTGGAGCCTGGTGAGATTGTCAATTCTGAACGCTAAAAGATGATGCTCACTAAGCNCTACAAGCACAGCATACAAGCTCTTGTTCATCGCTGTCAAAAGTGCATAACGAATAGTGGTGATAATGTAGAAAAATAACTTAAGTAGCTGAAATCTTGCTCTGTTTAACTGTGATATTATGCTTTCTGTATCTGTTGTAGTTTTCAATCAAAAATAGGAGGCATTATATACGGAACACTCCTCGTACATGAGCATTAGAAACTGCAACAGGAAACAAAGTGTATGACTGTTCATAGTATGTTGGCATACTTGCTGACCTAGCCTTACCTGTCAGCACCAAATCCTCCCAAAGTAATGCTGAGAACAAGCGCCGTACTCCATTTGTAACCTCCAGTCCAGTTGCATGGAACATTCTTGAGAAATGTTCTACGTCCCAAGCACAATACTTCGCTTTTTACTGTACAGTTGGTCCTGTACAACAGAATGAAAATGACAACAGGAAAGATAAATTCTTTATTATTTATGTGCTGAGCCAACAGCCACAAGGTCAATTACAGACACAGCACAGTATAGATAAAAGTAATTCCATACCGGATAAACACAACATAAAGTCAAAGATTAATTAAAGGTAAGCACTGGAGGGAAAACACATTAATGCATACAAGGCAGTGACGGCAGCAGCATCAGTAATAGCAGTAGCAATTCAGTTTAATTCTAGTTTATGTTCGTACAAATAATAATAGTAATAATTATGCCATATTTAAAAATCGACTGAGGAGAATGTTCCTGGCTTCAAATATGTCAACATCCCCGCAAACTACATTAGCAGCTGATGCACATCTAGCAGAGGGACAATTTTTACATGAGGGGCAGACATTGAACACTGCAGTCTCTCTGATATACTGAGCAGGAACTTGGAGACCAACAACAATGACAATAATAGTAATAGCAATAATAATAATATTAATAATCACTGGTTCAAGAAAGGGAATACCAGGAAATAAACCTGTGACAAGAGATGATAATAATAATACTTACTAAAAGAACTGCAATCAAAACAGTCTAATGTAAGAAGTTAGAAGTTATGTTTTAATCACAACAAGATAAGAAATCTATGTGGCCCAGAACTTCATGATTACAGGTTACAATTTCATTACAGGAGCTTTCCAAATTCCCACTGACACCAAAAAGCGCAACAAAAAAAGAGAGAAATTAATATGACACTAAATATTAATTACATTTCACATTAATACAATAATTGTATATGGTCCATTGAAACAAAATAGATATCAAACAAACTAGTAGAAGTATTTTAAGAGTATGTGGAAATGCTTGGTAAGCAGCACATTCATATAAAACAATTTTAATATATGATTAACATACAAGGGTGTGTGTGAATCTAACATTTTCAAGATCAAACAGAGAAAAGATTTCTATCTTGATCTGCATGTTGACTTTACAGTCTCAAACTTAAGAAAAAGTTCAAGACAACTGCTTCTACTTTGAGAACCAACACATTTGGCAATCCTACTTTAATTAAACTCGTCAGTAAAATGTCCCCTCATGGCCCCACTGCGTCTTTCTCTATTTCTCAATTTCAGCACTTCACTCTTCAAATAGCCAAAATATTTCATTATTGGAAATTCCAACTTACAACCAGCACCTCACCCCCAAACCATGGCTAATATTATAAATTGTGATTACAGCAGAGCGACTGGTCCGGTATAGAAAATGTTCATTCTTGTCTCAATCCTTAAAACTCTTCCAAATTCTCATCACAATCTCATCAGAAACTGAAAGACATTCTTACATATACAGTCAACTCTCAATTATCCGGGATAATGGTGGGGATGGAAATCACAATTAATCAAAAACCTGGTTAAGACAAATTTTATTAAAAGTAGTACTGTAATACTGTACCTTCATAATACTATAGGCCTACCTGTATTTAAATTTATTCAACCTCATTTTTATGTCATCTCATGGCCTATTTAATACTTTTTTTTTACATTACACTGAAATATGAATTAGTTATTTCAATCACAGTCTTCAACAACATCCAACATTTTTTACGAATACTCACACTTAACACTTAAAAAAAATTTAATATTGTCGTTTACTTTTTCGCGGCATTTTCCTTTTTCTGTTGAATACTTAACACAACACGCTTCCTTTTACACCCTGATATTTTGCTAATGCACTTGAAGATCGATACAAAGATACTAACTGGGGCGATGTATCTGTCCTTGAAACTTTCCAGAAATCCTTGCATTCTTTCACCCCTACCCTAAAACATTGTGTTAGCATAACGGGACCAAAGAATGCAGAGCTCGGTTTACACTAGTGCGAAAATAGTCTTACAACTCGCCATGTGAAACAAAAGTGAATGAATATTAAACAACATATAAGCCTCAAAAAAGCCTCAGTAGCCCCGGTTAAGCCGCAAACCGGTTAATCCGCCCCCGGATAATCGAGAGTTGACTGTACGTGCAATTTACATAAAACATAAACAAGTTGTTATTGTGCAATCAAGAATATGGAGTTGGGATAGTGTAGTTGGCATAGCGACTGGCTATAGGCTCGATGATGGAGGGGTCGTAGTTCCGAGTCCCAGTAGGGTCAAGAATTTCCTCTTTTCCACATCGTCCATATCAGCTCTGGGGCCCACCCAGCATCCTATCCAATGGGTACTGGTGGCGCTTTCCCTCGGGCAAGAAGCTGACCACTCATCTCTAACTTATGCCGAGGTCAAGATCTATACATCCAACCCCCCATACGCATTCATGGTGTAGTGCTTAATTAGTTAATTACAGGGCCAACTTTACCCTTTATTTAAAGAATATGAATTTTCAACAAGCAAGATTAAACTGTGTGAATATTGTCACGTATTGGGCGTATAACGCGACAAATAACTTCACACCGTATTTGATATAGCGAATTTTATTTCACATTCGCACTTACAATCACACAATTGACAGTTTTAGAACTACTGCTGTCTGCAGTATCACAAATACTACACTCCAAATGCCACAATACAACCGACTGGTTGCTGGCTAACTCGGAACTAACTCGGAGGTAGCTCGAGGACTGACTCGTAGGTAGTTCCAGGACTAACTGTGAATAGCCTTCGCTGCTCCTCATGTAGCCTCGATCGGACAATACAGAAAACGGCCACGTAATAAGCACCCTTGTTGCCTGGCGCTGTGTTGCTAGTAACCGCTGTTACCACCGTCGTCTCTCACAATCCTGTTTACCCGTGCTGCCCTTGGTGACATCATCGCTGTTGACTCGCTTTGCATAGCGACCAGGATGCTAGCACTCGGCTAACTTCGGCTCACTTCGGCTTTGCTTGGCGCCGCTCGTGACGTCACCACGGGGAGAGTTGCGGGGTGATTACTCGCCTATTAAGCGAGCGCTACGTTACCGCTACGTGCAGCTGGGGAGGTAGGGGTCAACATGTCACAATATTATTAACTGAGAGAATTTTACAGGAATGAATTATTAACATATTTAACACATGTGCCTGTATTGTACACTGATACTTGACAATTTCTAAAGAATGTGAATTTTGCAGACAAGTGACAATTTCTAATTCTGTGAGCAGATGTATGAGTATGAGGGGTGAGCCATAAAAACCGGACCTCACACTGTGGCCTTCAATGATCTATTGTGCTTCCCCTTTGGATTAACCCTTGATTAATCCTATACTTCAAATGAAGTGTAGGACTTAATTTATGGGGGCATCATAAAAGTCACTTGGTTCCATGCAGAATTGACCCAGGTGGCGATATCTTAGGTAAGCTATAGCCTCACAGTCACATAAGATGTGTGTGGCTGACTGATTCATCTTCTTGTAGGCACCTCTCACAAGTTGGGTTGTCTGTCACTCCCAGTTTGGAAAGGTGCCCTTTTAGGTGGCAGTGTCCAGTAAGTAATCCTACCACCCATTTTAGTTTATCTCTGTTTAATTTTAACAGGTCCCTCTTTCTCTTGGCAGAGGGTCCTGATATAAATCCTTTTGCCTGTTTGAATCTAGTTGTGGATTCCCAGTGTTTTTCATGATTTGTGTTAGTCTGGTCCCTGATCTCTTTCTTGGCAACTCCAATTGAAATGCCGCAAGCTGGTTCAGGTCCTATGAACGGTTGTTCAGATCCTGTTCTTGCCATACGATCTGTGGTTTCATTCCCAGCAATACCATCATGGCCTGGCACACATATCAGCTGAACTCTGTTATGTCTGGCCAGTTGTGTGAGGGACTGGTGGCAATCCCAAACCAATTTTGAAGTGATTTGGTGTGTACCAAGTGCTTTGATTGCAGCTTGACTATCTGCTAAAATATACGTGGGTAGGCTGAAAAGTAATGCACACATGCTTGTAAAGCGCGAACAAAAACAAATAGCAAGATCGGGCAAAAAGTACATTAATGTACAATTCTTAAGTTTCAAAAGCATATATTTATTTTTCAACATAGTCACTGTTAAGGCTAACACATTTCTCCCAACATGTAACAAGTTTTTTCATTCCGTCACTGAAAAATTCTTCCGACTTTTCTCGAATCCAGGACTTGACAGCTGCTTTCACCTCATCGTCTGAGGTGTAATGATTACCCTTGAGGTCTCTCTTGAGTAGAGGAAAAAAATAAAAATCGCAAGGCGCAAGATCGGGGGAATAAGGAGGGTGTGGAATCGGTTCAAACTTCAGGTTTTGCAGAGCCTCTTCAGTTGCGCGCGAGGTGTGTGGATGAGCGTTGTCATGTTGCAAGATTATTGGCGCGAGGCTGCCTCTAACACGACAAACTCAACACCGGAGGTGTTTTAGAGTCTGTATGTACTGAGAAGAATTTACCGTTGCCCCTCGTTCCAGAAAATCGGTCACATAAACTCGGTGAGCATCCCAAAACACAGTCAAAAGAAGATTTTTGGCGGATGGTTGTGTTTTGAACTTTTTCGCCTCAGGAGAAGACAGATGTCGATATTCAGCACTCTGTCTTTTCTCTTCCTGGTCGTAACGATGGACCCATGACTCGTCCCCCATCACAATATTCAAAAGAAAGTTGTCTCCTTCATCACGGTAGCGCAGCAAAAGTTGCTCGCAGCATTCCAATCGACGCTGTTTGTTCTCGTCTGTGAGACGGCATGGTACCCACTGTGCACAGATTTAAAGTATCCCAATTTTTCAATAATGAAGCCGACACGTTCCTTGGATATTCCAATATGGTTTGCGATACAATTTTGAGTGATTTGCTGGTCATTTTGAATCAAACTGTCAACGAGTTTGCGATGATTATCGTCTGTGGCAGTGATCGGACGTCCGCTGCATGTTTCATCAACAATTATGGCTTTTCCAGGCTCGCAACCACGAAATTTTATTACCCATCGATTTACAGTAACCTACCAACAGCATCATCACCATAAACAGCCTTTAAACGATGATGAATCTCAGTAGAAGTCACTTTTTCAGCAGTTAAAAAT